TTGCTTGTGATGGATGCTGGCACAGTACGCGTTTTGGTAGCCGCGCTTGGCGACGATGAACATGCTGACTTGAATCATGTGGCGATATTGTTGGCGCGACGTATTTCGGAGCTTCCTCATGTGAGTTCCGTTCTTGTCTTCGAGGATTCCCTTTTTGAGGTGTTGCAAGACCTTTTAGAATTTCGACACGCGTCAACACAGTTGACAAAACATATTCTCCATCTCTTTGTCAACCTCTCTGGCCATCCCAAGCTTCATTTCAAACTTGCGAGGTCACGACGTCTTGTGTTCTTTGCGATTGAGACCATTCTCCTTGTACTGAACACGGATATTGTTGAACAGGCTTCAAGAAAAATGCACCGCGTGATGAAATCTGTTCCCTCACCTTTGGGCGAGCCCCACGTAATTTCGACAAAGCGAAAAGCTTTACCCTTTGCTCCTGCGCTCTCTAAATATGTTGGATGTGCATTGAGGCACGTGTCTACGGCTGTGCCTTGTGCAATGATTATAGCGAATCTCCTCTCATTTCCCGAGAATAGAGCATCAATTTTTTCTTTGTATCCGGATCTTGTGCGTGCACTGGAACTCTGTGACTCACAAAAAGTTTCAATCCGATTGTGGGAGGTGGCTCGCTGCGCGATAGATTACTTGCACGACGATGAGGCGATGTTGGAGACGCAATTGCTGATGCACTTCGAATCTCCAACGGTGGACGATGCGACCGTTAAAACAGGGAACTCTGCGTGACGTCTTATATCTTTAAATGTTGGGCCGATTTGTCTGTTGCTTCTTGTGTATTTTTATCGAAATTAATGTGTGGGTGCGTTGAACCCTCATGATATATTTCTGGTGGTGGTGTTGGTGGTGGATATGTATGTTTCTTCAATGGCGCTGTTGTGTTGAGCGAGGGAGCTGTTCTATCACTGTTGCCTGCTTTCTGTGTATATAAGACGAAGGGAGAGGAATAAAAACACAATCAAACACAAGAACGAACAGAACAAGGGAAGAAGAAGAGGGAGCACACATAGAGGGGAAAGGTGTGGGGTGGGGTGGAAAGATGAAGGCCTTAGACTTTGGAGTCGTCATGCAGGATCAACGTATGGCCCCGCTTACTCAATTCATGGCAAGAATGGCGCTTGATGGGGAAATATCGCCTTTTCACTGCGATGCGCTGATGATCTCGTCCTTGTACCGTGCCGCCTTGGCGCCCTTTTGCTGCGTTGAGGACGAGAGAGACTCTGCGTCAGTGTGCACCGCTGTTCTTCGCGACGTATTTGCTGGCGCTGAAGCCGCACTGGATGACACTGTGAAGTGTAGGGAACTGACGCCCGCTTTCATCACGCGGAGTAGTGACGGAAGTGGCCTGCTCGCCGAGCGCCGCCTCATTCTTCGGCTGAGGAGCCAGAAACGTATGGTGCGCAGTGTTTCCTTGCGCACAGAATCACACTAATGGGGGTAATTCTGTTTTTTTTTTTCCTTTTTAAATATATTTTCGGGCGGGTCACGGGGATGCAAATATTTTGACAGAAATGAATGGCAGAGCAGAAGCCACTAAAAATTATTTGAACGCAATTCTTTTTTTTTCTTTTGTTTGCATTTAATCTGTTTTTCATTTCTGGCCATTGATTTTATTTTGCTGGACCCTTTTCCCTTTTTATTTGGAGCTTGTATTTTACTTTTGTTTGCACGCAATTGGCCGGTAAGGAATGGCAGAAAAAGAAGAAGAGAGCATGGCGTCGAGGTCGGTCTCGAGCTCCTACTCGGATGACTCGTCGTATTCCTCCTCCACACGCAGCGACAACAGCAGCAGCGGCAGCGGCAGCGGCAGCGGCAGCTCCACGACGTCCTCCGAGGAAGGCGTGGAAACCCAGACGGGGGCTCGGCGTGCGCCAACGCGGCCTGCGGCTGGTGATTCGGCAACTTCCGCCGCCACCGCCGTCACATCGACGCCGTGTTCCGGACTCCGCTCTCTGCAACTGAACCCGGAACTTGTGTTTGAGCAGCCCGATGCCAGCTGGATTGACATACCACACGGCTCTGGTAGTGTTTTTCGTCGCGTCGTAACAAACTACGATGACTTTCCCGAGAGACGCTACCGTGTCATTGACTACTTTCGCACCGCCGTAGAAATGTTCGTCACGCAGGTGCGCCAAGAATACACGCATCAGTATCAGCAGGCAAAGAAAAACGACCGAGCAAACATTCGCTTCATCTGGCGAAACAAGGGGGAATTAGCGATCTGCTTTGCGGCGTGCTGCGACATGCTTAAACTTCTCTACGATAGATTTCGCCCCGGGCTTGAAAGACCGAACTGGGATGGAATTGTAGGTCAGTTTGTTCTTTTTTTGATGGCTGAGTCCAGGATACCGGCCGCCGTTTTGACGGAACAGACGTACAAGACCAAATTTCTTGATTGGCGGAAGGGCGGTACCCGTTATCAGGGCGAGCAACTGACATCAAACGTCCGTTTTCCTTCCGCAGAGGAACGTCGCACAAAGATCGAGACCTACCTTCGCTCAGGGGAAGGATACAGCATAGAATCAACAGGGGTGGACCTTCCGTCGGTGGTCCGTCCCGTCCCCACGCACGTGAAAATGACAGATGCACCGGTTGGGCAGGAAGAGACGCGAAACAACGGCGCATTTGATGTAAGTAATTTGGCTTCTCCCCTTGTTGGCTTTTCACGTGCCAGGCCCCCCGTAAAGATGCGAAGCAAATCACACATGAAACCCCCACAGGCAGTCATTGCTGGGAAACAATCTGTAGAAGAATACAGGCATTTACATTGGCTTGCAAAGCTCACCCAAATCACTGGCTGCTCTCCAACACTTGAATTTCCGGCTGAGCGGTCTTACATGATACTGGCGTTTGTTCGACTTTGCGAAACATCCGAGATGCCTGAGCAATTTGCGACTATTATGAATATATTGGTTAGGTCTAGTCTAACGATTCAAAGCGCATTTGAGCGGGGTGGGGGTATGGTGGTGCTGCGTCGATTTGTAGGCACACTGGTTCGGCTGAAAGATGCCTGTGGGTTGATAAATTTATTGGAGCAAATACTGCGACTGAAACTTTCTTCTTGGAGCCACAGCAGCCAACAGTCGTGGCTTCGGGACCTTTTGGGAAATAGTGGAAATGACTTGCGATGGTTGCGTGCTCTGGACATAGTGCCGCCAGACAAGCAAGCTACCTGGAGTTCGTTAATAACGGCGTTGGAGCAACGCTATGTTCTGTCAAATTCAAGAGAAGAAGAAGTACGGCGTGGGGCGAAGCGTGCACGATTAGATAATGACGAGGCGTTGCGCATGTCTATGGCGGACAATGTTGGTGTAAGCAAGCTTGCGCCCTATATTTCCACTGCCTTTTGCGTCTCATTACCCGGCGAGTTTTGTGCTCCGCCTCTTTCCTCAGACATGGAGCAGGACACTATTTCTTTGTTGAATAAGAAGCTGCAGTACTGCGAGGAGGCGCAGGTGACGTGGCGTGACGCCATCTTGAAGGCGCTCGGTGGCAGTTGCCCAGGCATACCCATTCCTCTCTGGTACGACCCGTATCAATTGCTTGGTGTGGATCCCTATCCTGCGAATTAGGGTAACGATTTTTTATTTTACTTTTGCTATGTTGTTGCTGTTGCTTAGGGCTGACGGCTTTCCCCTGACATTTCATCGCCTCTGCTTTGCTCCTTGTGATGCCTTTTCCCGGTTTTCTCTTTTCTTTTATATTTTGTGTCACACACACACACACAAAAGGACTTTGTGGGGTTGGCCAACACGGCCGTTCAAAGGGGAAAAAAGGGAACAGAAATGTTAGCCCTCAGCGTTTTCTCTTCTTTCCTCATGCGCCGCATGAATTTTTTTTTGTGCTTTAGATCTCTGCCACGGCTGCCCAGCGCCGCGGACGCGTCAGGGGAGTTCTACGGGCGTTTCGGTGCCATATTGGTCTCCATCCGCTCAAAAGTACGAAGAAAAGAGGTAGGCCCTGCGCATACTATTGGGCGCGACGCTGCGTGATTCCTCGTCATGATTCCAATCTTTCATGCTTTCTGTGACACTTCCACATGATCTAAAATTACACATTGTCATAGTTACAATGAACCCTGTTGCAATCTTCCCCTTTCTGCCCCTTTGTGTTCTTGAGGCGCTGCGATGTCTTATGCATGTAACGCGTTCTGTTTGAACCGAGTCAAACCACTGACGAGATTTCACCATTGTACACTGGCTGAGCGTCCCTCTTTGTGTCTCTCGCACTGTTGGGTGCGACGCTGTGTGATTCCTCGTCATGATTCCAATCTTTCATGCTTTCTGTGACACTTCCACATGATCTAAAATTACACATTGTCATAGTTACAATGAACCCTGTTGCAATCTTCCCCTTTCTGCCCCTTTGTGTTCTTGAGGCGCTGCGATGTCTTATGCATGTAACGCGTTCTGTTTGAACCGAGTCAAACCACTGACGAGATTTCACCATTGTACACTGGCTGAGCGTCCCTCTTTGTGTCTCTCGCACTGTTGGGTGCGACGCTGTGTGATTCCTCGTCATGATTCCAATCTTTCATGCTTTCTGTGACACTTCCACATGATCTAAAATTACACATTGTCATAGTTACAATGAACCCTGTTGCAATCTTCCCCTTTCTGCCCCTTTGTGTTCTTGAGGCGCTGCGATGTCTTATGCATGTAACGCGTTCTGTTTGAACCGAGTCAAACCACTGACGAGATTTCACCATTGTACACTGGCTGAGCGTCCCTCCTTTTTTTTCGTTTATGATTGTCTTTTAGTGCTTTTAAAGAGAAGAAGGGGGAAGTGAATCATTAAAGGCCAAGGCCTTTTTTTTTTTTGTGTGTGGGAGGCTGGAGAAGACAGGGGCTGTGGGGGAATGTCTCGGAATGATGTGGATGGCTCATTGAATGACGTCAACCCGGACTTATTAGAACTAAGCAAAGACCCGGTTGCCTGGCGGGAGCAGCGGCGACGTGCACTGCAAGAAAAGGTGTTTGGTCACGGTAGAGAGGGCGGCAGTTCTGTGAGTTCCGTCGCTCCTGCACCTGCCAATGGCCCCCCTTCTGGTGCAACGGCGTCCAGTGCGCCCAGCGTTTCTGGTGAATTCGGCCGAAAGATGGAAGAGCACGAGACGCACGTTCTTCAGCAGATCATGTCCCACAAGCGGCGACGTGATGATGCAGCCAAATCAGAGGCGACACCGGCCGTCTCGGCGAGCCCCGTTGGGCTCTCGATGAAGGAAAAACTCTTGCGGCGGTTGAAGAACCCACATTAGCACTTTTCGCGGTTTTATTTTGGACGAGTTTAATAGTAATAATATGAAAAAAATGGTTGTAACTGCATATTTGCAAGGGTTATGTGTGTGAGAAATATGTCACACGTTTGCTTATTATTTGTCTGTAGCTTTTCTATTTAATTTTAGCTGAATTTGCCACTTTTTTTTTTTTCTTCCATTTCTTCTTCTTATTACCACTAGGTTGTCTTCTTTCTTGTGCGTGTGTGTGCTGAGCTTTCTTGTTTGTGAAAGTGCTCTTAAAAAAAGAAAATAAATAAACGGTGATGCGGCGTTGTTTTCTGCACTGTGTGGTTTTGACAGCCACAATTTTTCTGTTTCTTTCGGCCTCTTTTGGGGAGGCGCAAATTACTGCGGAAAACCGGGCCGGGAATTTGACTCGGAGGGATTCAAGGGAAAAAGAGAAGTGGGGCTGTGTTTTATGCACCTTTATTACCGGACTTGTGTCTCAACTGAGGCAATTGCATGGGGTCTCCGCGAATGAGGCACTCAGTAAGTTTTGTGAATTTTTTGGCTCTCCCAAAGGCCTTATGTGCCGCCTCGCCAGTCTTATTTTGTTTCGGAAAGCTCTTCCTCTCATTGACGCAAACAACACCCCTGACGTTGTGTGCCGGACATTGTCGTACTGTAAGGACCCGAAATGCCATATTTTCCCTGTTGGAAACGCCACCGTTTCAGTGAAATCCCTGCGGAAAATACATCAGTTGGAGAGGGTCAAGGCAAAGGACTTGTGTAGTCAGTTGCCGATGCTTTGTCCAGTGAGACGTGGTCTGCGTCCCGCGTATGATGAGGATGGCGATTTATTCTCGACCTACCCCACGAAGCGCGGGAGTGATTGGCGGGGCCGTGACTGCGACGACAAGGATCCCAAGGTGTACCCCGGCCGCAATACCACGGACGCTTTCAGGGACGAGAACTGCAACGGCATTTTTGGAGTGGATAACGTTACAGGGAAAACATACGAGGAATTGTGGTGCCTCAACTCCTCGTCGATGGGCGTTATTGCACTGGGGGACAGCGTCACGGCACATTTTGGTATTCCAGCCGATTTTCTTGAGGTCCGGAGCCTTTCAACCGCTGGCCTTGCTAATATTATGGGCATCATTGCGAATGATTTTGATTGGCCGATGCTTTCTGGCATCACTGGCTTTGCCAATGTGTCAGATTACAAGCCGAATCGCGAAGGTTTTATGAAGTCTGTGTACAGCGAACTGTTGAAGCGAAATAAATGTAATCATCGTGACTACCAGAATATTGGCGTAAACGGTGCCTTAGTTAGAGACCTTAGCGGAATGCTGGACTTTGTTGCTCGGAACCGAACTGCTTTTGTAAAACCAGCACTCATTTTTTTTTCGATGGTCGGTAATGATGTATGCAGTCCTCCTCCCCGTGCCACCACGCCACAAGAGTATTACATAGGTCTAACTAAAGCTCTGGAAAAGGCAGAGACCATATTTCCAGCTGGAAGTCATGTTTTGGTGCCTCCTTTGGTGGATGGTCGTATTTTGTACAACACGATGCATAACCGCACGCATCCAATAGGGAGTTTAAACAATGATGTCACATATTCAGATTTCTATGATTTTTTAAATTGTCTTGGAATTTCTCCTTGTTGGGGGTGGATGAATACCAACGAAACCGTCCGTAATGCCACCTGGAAATTGGCCCAGACGCTAAACGCACAGTTACCTCGAATTTTGAAAGAATCGGCGACGAAATTTAAGAACATTAAGGTTCATGTCCTTGACGATGTTTATTCGGGCGTTTTGTCTTCTTTTAATGGGTCTAAATGGGAGCTTCTAGAGCCCGTTGATGGATTTCATCCCTCACAATTGGCCAACGCGTTGCTGGGTGAATATATGTTTAAAAAAACAGTTGAGTTGGGTATTATTCCACCGGCCAACCCATTCAACGATCTTATTGAAAACCGCTTCGGTGATCAAGGTGGACATTGATTTGAGTCAACATTTTGCTCTTCTTCCCTTCCTTTTTATATAAATATATTTGTTTGTTTTTCTCTCTTTTTTTTTATTTGGAATTGGCCGTAATGTTTGTGCTGAGCGGATTTTTTTTTTTTTTTTCCTTTTTTTTCTTTGAGGTATATTGTGCTTTTCCTTTTTTTCCCAGTCTACGATGAAATATATATTTTTATTCCGCTTGACTTCACGACATGGATTTATTTATTTATTTATTTATTTTTTTACTTGAGCGTTTTGGTCGGGTGCATTTATGGGATTTTTTAAATCCTTTTAATTGACGATGAAAGCGTTTTCCTGAACACTGTGGGGAAAAGGAAGTGACAGGTGTAAAAAAAAAATTATTATTTTTTTTTTTTTTTAAATTTTTTTATATTTAATGATTGAATGAATGACTCTGCGTATGCGTGTCTGCGTAGGATTGGGAATTGCCAGTCATGGTGTCTCTCTTGGCCTGCGAATGTTGGGAAGTCGTGAAAATTTTTTTTTTTAAATTTATAGGAGCTTGTGAAAAGAAGGATCACGGGAGAGCTGGCTAACGTAATGAATGTATGTGTATATCCTGATAAATGAAGGCATTCTTTATGATACTTTCTACCGTATGAATCTTTTGGGAAGAACGCGACTTTGTAGGGGCAGGGAACCGATAGAGGCCAGATAATATTTTTAATTTTATTTTTTACAGACACACAGCCAGGTAAGTTTAAGGAAATTACTTTGGTTCCCTACACACCCTCCGAGTGGTGTGATATTGGCGCCCGTCCCTGGGAAATGGTGTGCCAATGTGGCGAGACCCAGGTACAGATGACGTTCGTTGATGGTAACCAGCTGTCGGATGAGACGGTGACCGTGACCCCATCAGCGACAGGCTTATGCCTGTTCCATGGGCCTGCCTCTAAAGCATGGCAGGATTCTACTCTTATTGGACATATTGCGAATCTCCGCGCGCCTCAGATCCCTAACTTTGAGACACAAGTGCTCCTGCCCGCTATGGGGGCAGCCCGGGAGTTGGGGCACCAACAAGGGCTCATCACTGCTGAAAGGGAGCGCCTGAATTTTGATTACACAAACGCTGTCGCGGACGTGCAGAATCGAAATGCTCAGCTTAACTCGCGGATTGAGGAGGCGCAAATTAACCTATCGGTAAGGGAATCCACTATCGCCGGGGCCGGCAACCAGGTCCTAGAACTACAACACCAGTTGGAGGCCGATCGCGCCCAATTACGGGAGCGCGAATTCAACTTGGGAGTCCTCACTGGTCAATTCCGGGAACGGGAGGCACGCCTTAACGCACTACAAACCGCGCGGGATGCGGAGACGGCGGGGCGGGACGAGTCCCCCGCTACTCGACACGTTGCCAACGATGGCGTAACTACAATACCGCATCAAACGAATATCTTGATGGCTGGAGGCGTGCCTAGCAGTGCGGCCCGACGCAGTTCGGCAGCTTACAGACGCCCTCACGGCAATGTTGGGAGACCACATTTCCACCCCTCCACGCTGTTGCCTTCCCGCACTTCTCCCCTGGACGTTCAATTACCCATGGAAGAGGGCCGCGGTTTCTGCGCATTCGACGTCACTACGTGGCCCTCGCGTATATGGAATGAGGGAACTTTCGGAGTCGTTTTCGACCTCCGGTGCGCATACCAATGCTGGCAACAGGAAAACGAGCAGGTTAAACTTGCCTTTGGCAATTTGGTCGAGTGGATCGGCGCGCTGGAAGTCCTGCAGGATCCCCCCGATCGAATCATGAATTTGGGCAGGTCCCTACTGAATACATTCCGGATGCAGCTCACGATGGCATCCGATCCCGGCATCCGACTTTCCAAACTGCGCGCCCGTCTTTACACCGCTGTTCACCAGACGGACGCTTATGCCAGGGCTGCCCGGCTTTTCGTCGATCGGCGAGAAACCCAACGCACTGTGCGATGCCAACGTTGTCATATCTTTGGACACGAGGCGTCTACATGCAATGTGCGCCCGAGAGGGAATGACTCACAATACAGGCGCCCTTCAAAAAACGGCAGAGGGG